TACTTCTCTGGATCTATTACATCGTCCCTCTTACCGTCAACATTGCTTCAGCCAACAAAGTCCCAGCATTCGACAACCCCGGCCTGAACATCAAAGTCGCAACAGGCGTTTTGTATTATTACGTTATGGCATACACACTTGAGTTGCTCTTCAACTACCAGGAGATGCAATTCATGCTGATATTACATCATGTGTCTGCGATATCAATCACTTTGGTTGCTTCTTACATTTGTCTTTCACTTGAAATAACGGATTTGCTTCTCATCGAATACGTGATTCTGTCGGGAACAAGTGCCGTGCTTCACGCGAGTATCGATTTCATTCCGCACATGTATCTGTTGTTGAGACAGTTCGATGCACCAAGAGGTGTGATTTGGTTCTTTGGAATGTTAAGTACCTGGCCCGTCACGATATTTCGGCTGTCAGCCAACATATTTTTTGCGATGATTGTGAGATATTTTGTTGTGAGTGTGTTGTCAACATATCCACCAATATTTTACGGATGGACTGTTTTTATGGGTATAGGGACAGCTATCTTGGCTGTTACTCAGTATTGGGCGCATGGTATTTATGTCAAAATCCAAAGAAAGGATAGTAAGAAGGCAGAATACCAGAGTCCAATAGTTGGTCACACAAATGACTGGTGAAAATTACAATAATAAAGAGTAACAATAGTCAACATTATTCAAAGTCCTTATTTATTCCAGCAACACAGGTGAAGAGGATTAAAATAAGCAGAGAGAGTTCAAAAAGGGGGGTAACAACTAAGGGGGGGAAACAGGACTTTGATTGGAAACAGAGGGAAAAGAAGGAAAACACAGAAGCTGGTGCACAACCTTAAAGCTCTTGTACAACTCAACGCTTTCCAGCAAGAGTATCCAAAGCGTAAGGATAGGCACGATCAACCATCTCCTTCAAGTCTTCCGCTCTGACCAACTGATCCACATCCTGTCCGATTCCGACTCCAGCTTTACCACCTTCAGCAGCCCAATCAGCCTCCTTCTTCAATCCACGCTCAGTCCAGATAGTCTGCAGCGCGCCGACAAGACCATCCATCAATTCAGGTCCGTGGCCAGGGGTTGGAGTGACTCTCAAACGCTCTTCACCGACAGCAACAGTTGGGTAGTTGATACTTTGGACATAGATCTTGAAACGGTGGAGCAACTCATCACTGACACTCTTGGCAGTCTCGGCATCACCGACAAGAATTGGGACAATGTGGGATGGGTTTGGAACAACAGGGATTCCCAAGTCAGCAAGAGTGTTCTTCAACATGCGGGTGTGGAGCTGTTGGCCAGCACGTTCAACAGGGGACTTCTTGAGGTGACGAACAGCAGTCAAAGCTCCGGCGGCAACGGTTGGTGGCAAGGAAGTAGTGAAGATGAAACCAGGGGCGTAGGAACGGATCATATCGACGAGGCTGGCGCTGGCGGCAATGTAACCTCCAACAACACCATAAGCCTTTGCAAGAGTACCAGTAATGATGTCAATGTCATCCATAGCGTTGATGTATTCAGCAACACCAGCTCCAGTTTCACCATACATCCCAACGGCGTGAACTTCATCCAAAAAGGTGATGGCGTTGTACTTTTTGGCGAGAGCGGCGATTTCCTTGATGTGACCAATGTTTCCAGACATGGAGTAGACGGATTCAAAAGCAATAATCTTGGGGGTAGCGAGATCGTACATTTGCAACTGTTCTTCCAAGGCCTGCAAGTTGTTGTGCTTGAAGACGTGCTTCTTGGCACGGGAGTTACGAATTCCTTGAATCATAGAGGCGTGGTTGGAAGCATCAGAGAAGAAGACACAGCCAGGCATTTTGGAGGCAAGAGTGGAGAGAGTAGCATCGTTGGCAACAAAGCAGGAAGAGAAGACGAGGGCAGCTTCCTTCTTGTGCAAGGAAGCAAGTTCACTTTCGAGACTCAAGTGGAGTTGGGCGTTTCCAGCAATGTTTCTCGTTCCTCCCGCACCAGCACCGTACTTTTCGATCGCAGCCCTATTATTATTTCATTAGTTTCATGGTTTCTACTCACGCTCTTGTCGCCTTGGTCGGATTTCCACTCTATTTTTGCTCATTCCTCACTTAACTTCGTCGACCAACCGACTCATGTTTTTGTTCGACTTTGTCGTCACACCCGCGTTCCTTGGGTTCTTTTTCAGATCGTTCCTTCGTCGCCCAACTGACTCCGCCCTTGCTCGCTATGCTCGCTATTTTCTTTCGACTTCGTCAGTAGACCCTCGTTCCTCGGGTACGTCCCTTGCTTGCTGCTCTCGCTCTTCATTTTGTCGATTCTTTTTGTCGACTTCGTCGACTCTATCGATACTCGCTCCTCACAGAATTGAAAGAAAACTCACTTCATGGTCTCCATCACTTCAGGATGCTTGGACATGCCAAGGTAATCATTGGAACACCAGACGGTGACATGTTCACCGGTACCGGTGTGGGCCATGGGGTAGAGTTGGGCAAGTCTGTTAATGTTATTGAAATAACGGTAGGACTTGTCCTTGTGTTTCTTCTCGAGAAGGTCCTTGAAGAAGGCGTCGTACTGGAAGCCACCGGGGATGGAGGAGGATGGGTCAGTGACGATTGGGGTGGTGGCTGGTTCTGGTGCCTTCTTCTTTGGCGAAACCACGGATGGAGAGGCGTTGGAGTATGCTTGAGGCATAGACTCAAAGAGTGGGCGTGGAATTGGACTGGTTTAGTGAAGTTAGTGGATCGGCGATGACAAAGAAAGGAGATAGAGGGGTGTGTGATACGCACGTGGAGTCTCTTCCAGCACCAGACTCAGTCGCAGCAGGAGCGTTTGTTGCCAAAGTACGCGAGTGGGAGTGGGAGTGGGAGTGTCTGGCCTGCGAGTGCGAGTGGACAGCCGAAACACGGCGCACGGACTGCACAGCCAAGGCACGGCCAAAGACAGGACACTCCGTCGCGGCCTTGAACAACTGCGACTGGCCCGCACTCGATCCGCCCTGACTCACAAGTTGGGCCGCTGTCGCTGCAGCAGCAACCGAGCCCGCGATCGACAACGACGGCATCGCCTCAGAGGACAGCGCGTGCGGACACCCAACACCAACGGACGTCGACATCTGGCGCAGCGCGGAAACAGGTGTGCGTGCGAGGAAGGGACAGGCGCGGGTCACGCCTGAGACAAGGTGCTCCATTTCAAACAAAGATTGTTGGAGCTTCGTTGTTTCACGATTTGCTCTTTTTCGTTTTCGATCCCGTGACTCATTCACTCGACAATCAAGAAAGAATGAAAGGCGTCGCCGTCTTCGCTTACAAAATCACTGAGCCTGTCTTGCATGGACACTTTGTCTCACTTTCAACCGACGATGCATCCACTACCTTCAGCCTGTCAGCTTCTGAAGCAAAGCATCCACCTGAATCCCATCCATGCTGCCATTCAATGAATGAGGCCCCTGTCTTCTGGGATATTACTCTACTGAAACATTCAGTGCGAGATGAGCAAGAGACTGTGGATGATATGACGCAAGAATCCCACATCAAACAACAACTATCATATTCCATCAAAAATGTTCAGCAATTAGAAGGCGGGGATGCTTTATCTCTTGATACGGAACATTCGGATTGGATTGTCAAACCACATGATCATTCTCACTTGTCCCATACTTATGCTTCTGCTGAAACTGCTGAACTCCAATGTGAGTACTTCACAAAGAATTGAGGCTAATTGAAACGCGAAAGTGGGGACACGATAGGAGATCAGAACCAGTAACTAATTTCCAGATAAATAGCACAGCATTCTCTCTCTTTCCGAACTAGGATATTGAAGAGCAATCAAGACGCGGTCAAGGACGTTGGAAAATACTTTCCACGATTACTATCGAATGATACAAGGCAACTAGACCAAGACAAGAATGATGATTGGATTGTATGTATTGGAGAAATGACTCTTGAGCTCAACGACACGTCTCCAGACGAAGAGTAAATAAACTATACCCTTCTCCATTACAATTGCGTGTACTTTGGCAAGATTCTGAACGTTTCCCAAAACTCTCTCGACGAAATACCCTTTCCGAGCTCTTCTGCAGACCGTGGTAACGCTTTTACCCCTTGCTCCTTCATCAACTCCAACACCCACACCCAATGTACCGGTTGATCCTCTCCGACTCCCTCCTTTGCAACCCAACCAGTTGGTACAGCACTCCCCAAAAAATCCCACCAATCGTACACACGCATATTCGTAATAATCCACCTGGCCTCTCCACTCCTCCAGTTCCGATGCACTGCAATAACCGCCCTCGCAACATCAACCCCATGAATGTAATGCACGCTCTTTCGCTCCGCGACCGCCGCTTTCGTACCCGCAATACGTGCGATAAAGTTTCGCGGGTTCCTCGTCTTCTCGTCGTACAACCCTGCAAGATGCAAAACAGTTGCCGACTGTGGATACAACTCCAGAATCCGTGCTTCGCCCTTGTTCCTGTCCGCAAGGTTCTATCAAACACCAAAGAAGTTATAAAACTACGCTGTCAATAGAAACACAGAGCCGCTTACGATGAGAGGTGAATGGCGGTCACACCATGGACCACCACTGGTTCCAATTGGCCCATAGTTTCCTGTACTCCCCAACAAGATCCACCGCGTCTTCCCCGCCCCACCATGTGTCTCCGCGTAGAAGCGAGTGAGCCTCTCGGCCGCGATTTCACTGAGAAGCGGGAAGGTGATGAGGACAGTCGTAGCAGGAGGCAAGACTGCGAACGGGGTTGGATCGGTGCTCAGTGGATCGAATGCAAAAGCGATGCTTCCGTTCCGTCCGTCGCGTGTCGTCCCTGCAAATGATACGTTGTCTTTACGGCATTCGTCGGCGACGTAGGTGCCTGTCCATCCGAGCCCGAGAATGAGGAGTTCCACTTGGGCTCCCATTCCAAGTTTTGCAACAAGATTTCGGAAGTGTCAGTCTCCAAAGAACACCAACATCCCAACATTCCCTGCTGAGCGAATACCTATGGCTCCAGTCATCGAAAACTAAAAGGCATGGCTCCGCCCAGGCTCGAACTGGGGACCACCAGTGTGTTAGACTGGTGTGATAAACCAACTACACCACGGAACCATGCCGACATAGAAGAGCACTTTATCAGGATCCTAAAGCAAACAAACGTTTATTATGGACGAGACGTTTCGATGTTGGTATGTTGAAAAGATTTCTGTTCCATATTGGATTGGGAGTGAAAGATGCTTTGAGTAGAATCTCATTCCATTCGCCACAAACTACAATCGAGCCTAACACCACGTACGTCGATATTCCTTTCAGCTCCTGAAGAATTATCAGCCATGTTGATTTTATTGTTTGTTTTCTGTCACCTCTTTTGATACGCTTATCAGTTATTCATAAAGTTAGTGTGTTCCTCATCCGTTACTTCAATATAAATTACGAAGTCAGTGAATTCATAACCATACTAACTTGTCAGCTCGAAAATTTGATGTCCGTTTTAGGTAGAAACCACTGATCTGATTTAGTACTTCAACATTCATTTATTTAACAAGACAGGCAATCAGGGATCAAATTTCGCAGGAAACAGAGAATTGTCTAAATCGAGTCCACTGACTTTGATTGACCACATCTCCTTACCACTTTGTCCATACAACCATTCCAAATCGTCACTAAACTTCAAATCCCACTGAATATTTGCAGGATAGTCCTTATGTTTGAATTTTGCGTGAATTGTTTCGGTTTGTTTCCAGTTGAAGTGATCAAACAAAACCGGCTCAAATGGAACTCTGAGGCTGATGGAAAGTTCGTAGAGCTCTTGGATCTTTCGGATTGCAAGTGTGACAGATTCTTTGGCAGTATTGAATATGACTGCGCCGTGGAATAAGTGTCCGCTGAGTCCAAGTCCTTTGTCGCCGGCTCGTAACAGTGCAGTGCGTACAACCCCTGCGAGGATTCCGATATCGCGATGAAGAGTATTCAACTTGATGTAGCCCTCACTTCGACCAATCAACAACGCCAAACTATCCTCGATCTGTTTCTTTTCCGAAAGCAATCCCGACTTGATGACTTCTAGTCGCTTCTTGTCATCATATAGTCTCGACTTATCGTGTTCCAAACTCTCCTTCTCTGCCTCTAACAAATTCTTTTCCTTCATCAATCCGTTTCGCTGACTTTCCAAAAGATTTTTTTCTGCAGTGAGTCTTAATTTATCTTCCTCGAGTCGCTCAATTGTCTTGAAACCATCGTGTACCGCATCCAATGTCCGCCCACTCACAGTTCCCACATGCAACAGTACTTCGTCACGCACATTGACGCGAATGTCTTGTAAATCTTTCACATATCGATCTAATTTCGGAGCACGCCCTCTCAGTTGTCTAAAAAATCGAAGAACAGGTCCAATGTGAATCCAATTCTGCATTTTGACTTCAACTTCGCGCACCTTGCTTTCATAGGCTTCAATAGAAAGATCCAAAAGCTGTCGCATATCCTCAGTTGCAGCTCCGAACAGCAGTTTGGATGGACTGTGGTACTTGGCTTGTTGTTGTCGCGCATATTCCTCTGACTCTGTGAGACTCTTGTTGACAGCTATTAAAATCATGAGAAATGAAGCAGACTCGTTGAGGATATCATGGAATGCAGGAAGGACGGCTTGTTCTTTTGCGTACACGTTTCCGAATGATTGAATCAAAGTTCCGACTCCAGGAGGAACGAATGGAAGCTGAGAAATAAGTGTTCCAATGATGGTGAATGCTTGAGTGACAGCCACACCTGTTAACCATTTTTCAAACTTGGCCTTGTCAAATCCAGCCGTTGAAATATCAAACACGAGGCGAATAAGCTTCCGATATTCTTTGTTGCTTTCAGATTTGTTGATTATTTCTTCGTACTTGTTGAGTTCTGTCTTCTCTTTGTCTGTTAGCCATCGAGGAAGTGGTTGTGAGCCAAAAAGAGTCAAAGCAGACGATATAGAATCTGGAATAGGTTCCCCAATTATAAGATATCCGAGCCGAGCATTTTCAAGACGAGTAATCTGTTGTTTCAAAATATCTTCTCTACTGACGACTGGTGGTATGGGTTGTTTCCTTGGAGTATAGACTGTAGATTCTCGAAGAAACTCGTTCAATGATATAGGTGATGTTGGTGTTTCTGGCAAAACGGGTGTAGGCGTTAAAGGTGACAAAGAAGTCTCCTTTTGCCGACTAAACGTTACAATCCAAGAATCAGTAAGCTCCTTGTGGTCTGCAATCCATAGTGTGCTCCATTTATTCCACGCATCGTCGATTCTTTTCAGGCGTTTGAACTTTCGCGCAAATAACGTCAAGAGCCTTTGATAATGGAGCAGTAGTGATATATCCTTGCTATGAGCCTCATAATCAGGAAGGCCATCGAGTTCAGGTTCAGCTATGGCATCAACATCCTTCAAGTTTTCGTCCAGCTCAGGAATAACTTGGTTCGCGTTGTGCTTTTTCCTCTGAGGCGGGTCCGATAACTTCATTTCTTCTGGAAGTCGTTTGTGTCGTGTTCAATAGAAAGAAGTAAGAGAACAATGAAAAAAGCAACAAAGTAAATCCTTCATCAAACCACCACAAATGGCATCAATCGAACCAACACCGAATGCATCTTCAATAACTGTAGCGAAGCACATGGCGCTCTACATCCTCACAATGTCACCCTCGGCATCAAAACGGCATGCTGACATCATTTCAGCGTACTCACCGAGCCTTCTCTGGGGGACCCGCATGTCCGTGTACCTTGGATTTGCCGGTGCGGGAATGGGATCGTACATTGCGGCTCGACAGCGCAGCCACCAGTTTCTTGGTGAGTTGGTTCTTTGCCTTCAGCGATCTAAAGCTTTCTTCGTTCAGCCGAGAACGCGCACAGACTTCCAAAAACACAGCGAGGTTGGTACGTTTACCATCGGCATAAACAGTTGGAGAGTATTAGGGCTGCGCTTTCTTGGAAGGGCGGCCTGGGAAATGGGGCAAAGTTTGCTACTATGGGTGCCATCTTTTGTGGGCTCGAGGCGCTTCTGGAAACACACGTAACGCAAGAAAGAGAGTGCTGGGTGAATGCAGTTGGTGCTGGAACAATCTGTGGAGCTCTATTTGCAGCTGGAAGTGAGTTGTGCCCTTCGCTTCCAATCAATTTAGTTCTAATCGTGTCGTAGCACGACTATCTTTGCAATCATCAAAATATGCATTGGCGATGGGAGCGGGGACCGGGTTGGCGATTGGGTTGTTGGAAGACGTTTCTGCGTATGTGTCTGGAGTTTCTCTGAAATATCCGTCAAAACTCCGCTCTGGTTCTCTCGATTTATGGATTCCGGGTTGGGATTGGGAGAAAGGATTGGCTGGATTTGGTGTGTTTAGGAGGAGTGAATGACTATACTTCACGATGAATTAGGGTATTGGATTAAATTAGATCCAGCGAGGTTCTATATTATCCCCGCAATTAAATTGAACCTGTTGAAAGCCCCTTGCCTGCACAATATGTGACGGAGTTTCCAAATTTGTGCGTGTCTTTGACTCCCTTCCAAACAATCTTCCAAACACCAAACCACCTGTCACCAAGAATGTCTTGGGAGCAAGGAGGTTAGTTACCCATTATTCCCACTGAAGTAATAGTACTAAATCAATAATTTCGCAGTTGGAATCGCCCTGGCGCTTCTTTCGGGCACATTCATTGGGGCTTCAGTTGTCTTCACCAAAAAGGCCCTTCTGGATATGAAATCCAAAGGCCATGACGTCGCCCAGGGAAGTCATGAGTATGTGAAGAGTCCTGTGTGGTGGGTCGGGATGGTGTTGAGTAAGTCCCTTTGAGTTCCGTTGCAAGGACTAGGGTTCCGACACTGATTGTTTGCCACTTATAGCTGCTCTTGGTGAAGTCGCCAACTTTGGAGCATATGCTTTTGTGCCTGCCATCCTGGTAACACCGTTAGGAGCGATATCGGTCGTTATTAGGTGGGGCTGAGTCTCATTAGATTGAAAGCACTCACCTTTTTTTTAGTGCTGTCCTCTCATCCATCTTCCTCAATGAGAAACTTAACTTCTCTGGAATGATTGGATGTGCGCAATGCCTCATTGGAGCTGTGATTATCGTGTTACATGCCCCATCGCAAAGTTCAACCAACACTATTCCTGAGTTTTTCCATTGGGTGCTTCAGCCTGGTATATACGATTTTGAAGTCATTATTCGTTTCTTACGTGCTCTAAACGTAGTGTTTATTGTTTACACGATCGTTGTTGCCGCTCTTCTCGGATACCTGATAATATACCTTCAACCACGATATGCGCAGACTTCACCTTTAATCTACATAACGATCTCATCTTTGGGCGGATCATACCTGGTGCTCGCGACTCAAGGTCACTCAGTTCCGTTTTCACGAGCTACAAACTAACATCTTCAAAACAGGGTTCGGAACTTCGCTTGTGTACTCAATCCGAAATTGGGAAACAGATAATCAATTCCGTCAATGGCCAATGTACCCCCTTCTTGGATTTGTTGTCTTTTTCATCGTGTTCCAAGTCCACTTTCTCAACAAAGCCCTTTCCTCATTCAGCGCTGCTATCGTCACACCCATCTACTATGTATTTTTCACAACTGCAACTATGACGAGTACTGCTTTCCTGTTTCAGGGATTCCCTGTTGGAAGCACTGTGAATGGAGTCAGTATTCTGTTTGGATTCCTCACAATCGTTGGCGGGGTTGCTCTGCTGTTCCAATACAGTTTGAAGTTGCAAGAAATTGCAAAGCAGGCTGGAAATAGTGTTGCTCGAATCGCGACTGTGAGAGCTGGAAGCAGTCTTCATGGAGCGGATCCAACAGAGCGAGCTCATACAACGGACAACAAGACTGAGAGTGAATTTGATGGACTGAGTACTACAGGGCGAGACTTGGATCAAGTTGAGAGGTATGATGGACACCACTCCACAAGTGCTGGCACACTTGTTGCTCGTCTTGGACCGCTTCCAGAAGATCATATCACAAACGCCGGTGGTGACAATGGGCCTTTGACGATCACAGCGCACACGCAAGAGTCTAGAGACAAGCGAGTTTCGAGTCGCGAACTTCATCCAACCACTCGAGTTACAATATCAGAAAATGTCATTCGGAAACGG